TCAGGAGGTGAGAGATTTCACCAGAGAGACAGAAAGGGGAGTAGAACAGGCAGATCTCCTGAAATATACTGCTGAGGGGAGCAGTGGGTGGGACGGGAGAGATCTGCTGTGCCATGTGGGTCAGCTCCCTGGCTGGGAAGCAAACTGGTGCTGCAATGGCTAAGGCTAACTTCCTAGTGCTGCATTTTAACCCATTGCACCACCAGGGAGTGCCTGAGACTTGAACTATTATGCCATCTTCAGATTTCTCCTCTCAGATTTGTTCCTTACAAAAGGCTCAAATTTTCTCATTTTTCTTCCTTTCCTCTCTGTTATTGTGATGAGTGTTTAGCCAGAATCCTTGCCTTCCTGACCTTTCCTTTTTTCACCCCCAACACTACCACTATGTCATCTTCCTAAATGGCAAGCCCAGTGACTTCACTTACTGAGACAAACTCTTAATTAGGAAAGTGCAAGCCAACATGGACATAAATTTTTTTTCCAGTTTTGTATCACACTCTAATATGTTGCTCTCCTAATCCCTCACCACATCTTCTGTTTCAGCCAATCTGACTTCCTTGTTCTTCCTACACTTTCCCTCAAGATGCCAAGTAGTCTCTCTTCTCTGACACTGCTCTTCCCTTCACATTTTCCGAGTGAAGATCAACCTCAGCTTAAACATTCTAGAAGTTTGATGTGGAAGAATACAGCCATCATCATGGCTAGGCATATCTGTTTTCAAATTCCAGATATGTCCCTTAATAGCTCTGGGCCTCAAGCAAGTCTCAACCTCTCCAAGTCCCAGTTCCTGATTATATAACATAAGCATTATACTTACTTCCCAGAGTTGGGAGAATTAGAGATAATCTGGCCCCAGTAAGTGCTCATTAAAGAGTTGCTGATGGAGGGCATCCCTGGTGGCTTAGGGGTTACATCATATAACTCATTTAGAAAACCTTGTTCATGTCTCAAAGCTCAGTGCTTTTGTCCAAATTCAGTATGCTACATTTTTTTAATTAAATGAATGAGTAAAATCATTTATTAATAGGATTTTTAAGGAAACAAGCCACAAGGAGAAAAGAGCAGGGAAAAACAATGGGAAAAAAAATAATAAAGGATCAACACAGAATGACAGATGATTAGAGAAGGGTCCATCAGGGTCAAAAAGAAACCATTTTAGAAGGCTTGAAATCCTGGCTGCTTGCCCAGGGATAGCATTTCCATGGAATTCCAGTCCCCAAATTCTGTGGGAGCCTGTGTACCTACTCAGTTCTGCTGGTACTGGCTGCTTGCTGTGAGTGAGCATGACATGCCCAGGGGTTACCAGGAAAGACAAGTCAGGGGATCATGACCATGACCACATGATATTCTGATTTCATCTGGAAACTTCTTTTCCTCTGTGAATTTGTCTTAAATATTATGCAACTACATGTTCTTATTATTGCACCGTCTCAACCCACACTTAGCCATAAATTTTTAAATAAGTATGATTTTTCTCTGTAGAATGTCATTATTTAAAGAATAGTTGATTTTCAGCACCAATGACAACAAGTCCCAGGAACAAAGCATGCTGTCCGAGCATAGGATTTCTTTTTTGTTTTTGCATTTTATTTGTACATATTTTTTTTTGACATACCACCATTTCTTATTCTACTTCTGCAATGTTACTCTAACCAAATTAAAATAAAAAATTTTGAGGTAACATCAGTTTACCACAATGCATATGATTTAGGGGCCTATCACCAGCCGACCCCCCCACCAAAGTGATACAGTAAATGGGCTCTCAGATAAGCATTTTCGGATTTGCCTCCTTTGACAAATTTATGACGAAATTGGCTTTCCCAGACCTCTTATTTGTCTGTGGGTTTACTTTTTTTCTTTCATTTCCTTGCAGTTTCTCTTCTCTTGACAGGTTTCAGGTCAAGGAAAGGAAATCCCAAACAAAAGCAAATAGTGAGAAAGCTCACCGGCACCAACTCCTCTTCCTCCCTGTGCTGCCCCCTGCCCCCTCCCCATTACTCTTGCTGATTCCCCATTTTTGTTTGTCTTTGTGTAAATAAAGACTGGTGCCCACTGGTCTCCATCCCAGCATTAACTTTTATTCCTCCCCTTTGGCGGACTCTAGCCCACCTCCCCTTTTCTTTGTTGAACATTGTATAACTTGCCAAAGAGGAGCACAGTGGTCTTTCGACATGAGTCTGCTGCCCTCCTCATTTGTTGACAAATAAAACCACTTTCCTTTTCCTCAAACTCTGTTTCCTTTTATTGGCTGAGGGAAACTGAGACCAGCGTTCGGTAACAAAAGTACCCATAGTCCTTCACCATAGGCCACTGGGCCCCTCCCTCTAGCAGCCGCCATATTTCTAAGGTTTATTTCAGTTTGTTATTGTCTCTTCCTTTGTTTTTTATTGTTTCCACAGATGAGTGAACTTATTTGTTGTCCTCCTTCTGGCCTATTTCATTTAGCAGGATACCCTCCAGTTACATCATGTAACAAGTGGCAAGATTTCATCTCCTTTTACTGCTGAGTAATATTCTATTATATGTATGTAAGACACCTTTTTTTTTTTAAATCCATCTACCTTTTTTTGGACACTCATGTTCTTTCTAAAACTATACTATTGTAAATAGTGCTCAATGAGCACATCAGAGGAATTTTTGCCTGATAAACTGAACTTAAGATTCTCAAGGACTCATTGGATCTTCCGCTCTTCTGAGCAATGTTAACTGCTCTATTTCAGGTCAAGACTTCCTGATCTCCCCACTCCCTGCCCCACCTGTGCTAACCTAGAGGCACAGTGGCTGCGGGATTTCAGGAGACACCCCAGGCTCTGTAAGGCCTCAGGCAGCCCCTCACCGGTGAGGGCACTGCAGGCCCGGAGCTCCCAGCAGTGGTTCTGGAATCTCTCTAGGCCTAGCCTGTCCCTGATCTCAAGCAGTGGCAAAGCAGAGGGAGACTCCTGTTTATTGGCCAGCACCAGGAAAGGGATGCTGGCCATGTGTGGGTCCCCCAGGACTTCTGTGAGTTCAGCAACTGCCTCTGGCAAGCGGGCTTCATCTGTGCTATCCAGCACAAATACTAGGAGGTCCATGCCTTCTAGATAATCCTTCCAGCTGGCCCTGAGACGGGCCTGACCGCCCACATCCCAGAGAGTCAGAGTTACATGTCCGGGAGTTTTGAGAGACTCCACATTGAAACCAACGGTGGGCAGGGTTTCCACCAAATGGTGACCCTTCAGTTTGTACAGGAGTGTGGTCTTGCCAGCTGAGTCGAGGCCCATCATCACCACCTGAGCTTCTGCCTTGGCGCCTCGGGAATTCACAGAGCCCATGGCAACCACTGCCAAGCCCTAGGGGCAAAAGGCCAGTTATGCACATCCGCCGTTAACCGAAGGAACACAGATCCATGCAGGCAGGAAAGAAGAGCTTCTCCTCCAAAAATAGAAAGTGTCTTTACAATGTCAGGTTTCAGACACAGACTAGGGCTCTGAGTGGACCAGGAAGTATAGTTGTGTGAGTCACCGTCAGCTAATTTATCTCCAGGGGTCCCGTTTCAGGGACGAGGGTAGGGCTTCCTAGAAACGTTCCTTAGTTAAAACAAGGAGGCAGAATGAAGTTCCAGTTAGACAAACCTAGTTCAGGAGAAATAATTCAAAGGAATCTGATTCTTGCTAGTGTGTGGCTTCTAGTCTTTCTTTTCCTCCTGTGAGCCCAAACTGTGAACTAGAAGCTGCCTTGCATTCAGGGAACCTAGTGAAGAGGACGATCCCACTCTTGATACCTTCTTGAACACCCCACCAGACCAGCTCTGTGTTCTGCAAGCAGTGTCTATTTATAAAAGCTGTTGACTGGAGGCAAATTTACAAGTCAGACAAAGTGATTTCCTCCATTGCCTTGGCAGGGTAAATTACCTCTGGAACTCTACAAGTTTTCAAGAATTCCAAACTCTTAAGACTAAGACTTGCTCCCCACTTACTGAGGGGAAACTTACTGCAACTGAAGGGATGTGTCACCCCTACCTCCCCAAGGCTTTTTCAGCTGCCCAAGGAGAAAAATAAAACAATCCTTGCTCATTTCTCACCCCGAGTGTGGAAGAGTAGACATGAAAGTTACCTCAATGTAGTTAACTGTGGCAGAAAGCTCCCAGGGTTCTCGTTCATGCAGCTGCTTCTGTAAATGATTCATGTCCCCAGACGAGGAGGAAATGGAGACCCTGTGGCTGTTTCCTTGTTGTCCTTGGGAGGGGCAACTCCACAGCTCCTCCCTCAGCCTCAGGACCCGACATGCCTCCAGCTGGGCTAGTGACAGGGAGTGTCCCTGCTTTTCACTTTTGGAGAGCAAGGCCAGGCCGGCACCTAACTCAAATTCCATGCAGGAAAGAGTGTCAAGTGCAGAGAGCAGCCTTGGGTCAGCTGCTTTATAACCCTGTCACCATCTGGTAGAGAATTCTGAGACCAGAATTTTTCTTTCAGTTCGTGCCTCAAAGTTTTCTCTGGTATGTGGAGATTCTCTTATTTGCTTGCAACCATATAGAACTTCTTAAAAAGTATAATTGAAACATCCTAAAAATAGGTAGATATTTTAGGGCCCTCCCTGGTGGCGCAGCAGGTTAAAGCACTGCACTGAGAAGCTTAAACCACTTCCACATGAGTTCGATTCCCGCCTGCCCCGGAGGTGACCACATGGTGTGGCAG